TACACCTATACATGTTTCTCCTGACGCAAATCCAGTTATTTTCTATCATTCCATCACGACAATAACAATTATTATTAAACTTTATTGTTATGAATACAAACTACAGTATGTGCCGTAGCTTGAGTTCATAATTGCAATACTGTATTATTATGCACACACGCAACGGCACATACCCTAGGCCCATTACGTATTTCATCATCAATGCTCTAGTTTAAAAAACAAACATAGGACCTACCGTATAGACATTATACAAAACAGAGAAGTACATAAACAACCAATATATTTCATTCCTGATGATGACATAATTAATGTCGAAATATTGAATCCCAACACGATGGCGTGTATTTCAATACTTGGAGTATGTATTAAACTTTCCAACCAATATATATTTATCTATAATCTATCTATTATTCATTTATATTGCACTATTTCCAAACATTACAGTATGACAACAATATCAGTTGGGTTTTCAGTAAATATTTCTTGCAATGTTCATATCAAAGTGGATGTATAGTAGATTTTAGGGGAAATAGGCCTATGACGAGACTGAAACTTTTGATTTTGAGGAGATCTGTCCTAAAAATGGATTTATCGTATCGTCTGACTTAAACTCACTTTACTTTTGTGGGAGTGATTTTTTCTCCTACCTGACCAAATAGCCGCCAAAAAATCGCAATTGATTCGGATGGGAATTGAACTCACGACCTCCAGATAACTAGCTTGGTGTCATAACCACTAGACCACCAAACTAGCGCTTAGTGACTAGTTGAATCCGACCCCAAAGTAGCAGTTTCACTTTGCCTGAATAAAAATTGCCATCTTTTTATTGGCGAATGCACTGAGTGATGGACAAGAAGAAGTAATAACAAAACATTATTGGAGTTCAATACAATAAAAAAAAAAACAAAAAAAAAAAAACAATATACATGTAATGAAAATATCGACCTTAAGTCCCTTTTGTTCTTGGCTCTGCACGCAGACTGGACGGAGCACACTTGTGTGGACCCTATGCTCAGTTTTACGCTATGTCCTCAACTACAAGGCATTTGACAGTTTTCCTTTCCCAGCAGATGTTAATTAGGCCTATGCAATATATATATTAATATATTTAATTCATGTTAACGCGTACCCAAAAGGCCTATCGAGTCTTCCCAGACAAAAACATTAGGTAACATGCAACCTAGATGAATACAATAAGCGTCGCTTATTTGTTTGTTTTTTTTTTTCACAAAAAAATAAATAAATAAATAAAAAGGCAAGGAAATCAAAGAAGAAATTATATACAAAAGGAAACCGTTCTATATGCCAAAGAGCATCTGAAAAATAAAATCAGACAGTTAACAAATACAAAGAAAAGGAAACTAAAGGTACAATTTAAAAGATCAAAAGCAGAAAAAAAAACAGACAAACAAAACAAAACAAAAAACTTCAATCAAACAAGGAACCACATCAAAACCGAGAAAATCCAACAAAACAAACAAAAGTATTAGGTAAAGTGAGCATTAAATACATATTTAAAGACGAAGGTTTGTGCCAAAAGGGGTCCGGGAAAAAAAGAAAATGCCTTTCAAAAGGATTTCCTTTTAAATATTTCCTTTATATAGTAACTGGGCGGCCTACCGGTATTCTGTAATACCTATATTTACAGATACATTATAATATCTTAATATTATTGATGAAGTCGTTCGAGAAATAAACGCATTTAATTATTTAAAATATATTCAGCATATTCCGGTACAGTCTCCGCCATTATTATGCTATTGTATGGCAGTTACCAATGAATATAAAATCATTTTTTCTATTATTCAAGCTCGACACTCCATTGCTCTCAAACTAATTGAGCGTGTTTCGAGTAGATGGTAGATGCTTAGGCAACTGAGCTGCGTCCTTTGCATTAATTAACCTCAAGAGCAGACGTCATATATTTTTTTTTGTCCAAGGTCACATTCATCCTCCGATGTATGTTCAAAAACGTTAATATTCTGCGCATTCTATGTTGTGATTGACTTTAATTAGTGTACAATACGTCATTTAAGCTTTATTTAATCCAGTTGATGAGTTGACGCTGCAACGCAGGCAACATTTCTGCACGCGCTACGTTTGGATGAGCCGCCTAATGTGAACCAAACCTGTGCGACGACGACATAAACTTAATACATCATACCAAACTAATTTCTCCCTGATACCAGTAGAGTTATACATCTGATAACCCGATGTAAAATGCTGGTAGGATTTTATTATTATTTTAAAAAATACATCGAATTCACGATAAAATACAATATACTACTCTGCAATAAGAGATTTAAAAAGTAGACTATAATACTGTATAAAAAGCGACTCAATTAATTCCGTAGATAGTAATATAGGCCTACCAAACGAAACTGTAAGAAATAAATCAATCACCCGGAAGCAAAATGCAGCTCACATACGAATATTTTGATTACTAAATCAGGCAGACATTCAATACACTGAGAGCTACCGATGTTTGGAGATGACAATGTAGGATAAACCCGTGAATAATACCTCAATTTATATACATAGGAGCGTAATTAGGATCTGGTTTACACATACACATCATGGTTGAGATCATTTGTACATGAATGAAAACACATCTGAGTTAGCATTTATGTGTTTTTTTTCATTTGAAAAACTTACAAAATTACCTGTAGTACATGATAAAAGCCTACCTCTACAAGTGAAACAGCATTGTTTAGTAGGAAAAATTACTCTAACAAAACAGATACATCATAACAAAAAACAAATAATTATAATAATTGATAATGTATTAGGAACTTGATAGAGAATGCTAAAATGGAAAATTGAAAGTTAAAAATACTGGATAAGCAATGAAACAAAAGTTCATACTAGATAGGATGGCGTTGAGAACGGATTACATGTAGGCCTAAGTGTATAAAACAAATTTCTAAATTTATCCATACTCGAATAAAAACCAACGGAAGAGACTTATTTTACTTTTATTATTCAATTATGTTTGATATAATACTTACTTACAAAAAGATGTTAAAGAGGTTGCCCGTCGGGACGCACCCTATTTATTATTGGTTGCCCGACGCAGATATTTGGTTGCCCTGGGACTGTCTCTTATACACATCTAGATGTGTATAAGAGACAGGGCCTATATATATACATATATATATGTGTGTGTATAAATATAAATACATAAAATGTATATATAATATTGCCTTATTAGTATGATATCAATAATTCAGTGCACATTACTATTTGACTATTTTTCTTTAAATGCGTTTTGTTAGGTATCCTGTACCTTTCAAATGTCGGATTATGATATATCATATTAATAAACATATAAATGTGTAGGCCTAATACTTAGTAAGATAATAGACACTCTATTAGGTTAACACATGCCGTCCAACTATGTATCGTTAGTCATTCTGAACATGGAGTAAAGAATAAAACAACCTGTAGCCTTACCTTGTGCTGACGAAAATCCCAGAAAGATTAACACCAGGAAAGCTAGGCTAGGGTGGTAAAAAATAGCCATAGCTAAAAATTATAGATATTCTTATTTTCCCCAAGAACCTAAGAGTCAGCTGTACAGAGTCTTCTTAAAGAAAAATACGTTAGAAGATTAACGGTTTTCGCTGGCATCTGAATTCAACTGAGCGATTATTATTCCTTGCATGGTTCGTTGGGGGATTGTTCAGCGTGTATTGTTGCTTAGCATTTAAATAATAATGGAGAGGTATTTTCTCGAGCAGTTGTGAGACGTTGGTCGATGAAGTTCATGGGCGGATACGACTCCTCAATAGGTGTTTTGTTTGTGCTCTAAACACCATTTAACCAAGTTTTGTTTTGGCCAAAACGAGTTACCACACAATACCGTTCTCGAAATAAGTATAACACACCCTGGTATTGTAGATAATGGCGAGTTATATAGGGTTTAATCCAACATGTTTTAAACCATACGGTATTGATGACTCATTCACACGAAAACAGCTGCTTGTATGTTAAGGGTGTGTTTACATAGGAAATTATATTATTTAAACATTATTTATTGTTTCCATATATAAAATCATTATTTATTGACCTCAGATAAAAGGGGCTACTAGGAAATTACATGATTATGTTTTAACCTATATTGGAAGTGCTAACTGTTATAATGTAGGCGATAGAAGTGATGAACACGAAGATGAAATTGATGTTGATGATTGTGATAATTAAAGTTATGATGACATCATCAATGTCATCAATAACATCACCACACGAAACTCCAGACCCTCTACTAACTACATAATGGTGTTAATAATTCTTTCCATAACACTAAATGCTGACCAAAGAAGTAGAATACCAAGTGTGTAACTATGACATTCCCATGGCAACACACAATCACACAATACATAACAGTAATAAAGCAATATTATAATAGTAGTAATAATAATAATATTAATGATATTGATAACTCTAATATTATTAATTATAGGCATACAAATAATGATATTGAATAGTGATTATGATTATGATGATAATGATAATATATTTAAAAAATAATACCGGGTTTCTATGAATATTCAGCCTCTGAGAAACCGAGTTTTTCACCCTAAAAATTGTAGCGCAGTTTCTACCCTGGTAATCATTTATCGTCATATTAAGATGCCTTCCCATAATCGTAAACTGATACCAGCATACCTCCAAATCGTCAACGAAGAGGATGGAGTGTATTATATAACCACATATCCTATATGACATAACGAAATAAAATACTTAAAATATGGTAATATTAGTAATAGTTTCCGACAGCTGGTGGTACAACCATGCGTGCGGTAACGTACAATTCGCTGCCACAGTGCGAAAGTAGAAGCCAAACTTGTACCGTAATGCAATGCACAAAGAGGGCGGCAAACGGTGTTTTAGTAATGATGCATAAAATGCTTGCGAAAGCCTTCGTAAATAAATGAATAAATGAAGTTAGTGTATTTAGTTGTACCAGTGTTTTTATTTTATAGTTTATTAATGTACAAGCATATCATGTCGTAATTCAGGGGTGGTGTCAAAATTTGCCTGAAGGAGGGTCCGATGTTCCCGAAGTACCGTAAATGGGCGTGACCATGGCTGTAACTGGGGCGGATCCAGAGATGTCCAAAACGGGGGCCCGGAAGGAGGGGGGGGCCAAACCGGGGCATGCCCCGGTGAAATTTCTGTGTTCTAGACGCCCGAAAATGACCTCTGAGGCTTTTTGGGCGATCACTTTTATCTTTTTTTTTCTTTTTCCCTTTTCTTTATTTATTTTGACTTTCCAAAAAAAAAAGGGAGGGGGGTGTGCCCGGGCCGTTTCCCCCACTCCCTTTGGATTTATGCGTGTAACTTCAGAACCACTGGAAGGAACTCTACCATAAGGACTTAAGAAGTTTATTTAATCGATTTTATGACTCTGGCATAGCTCGTCAATACAAGTCTTTGTGTACGCGCGCGAACTCTCTTGAGTTGAGAGGCGTTTTTATAACTGTACTTACCTGGTAAGGATGTTATTCAGGGTTTATATTTATTGCGTAAATTATTGTGCCAGTTATTAGAGCAAATCAGTTAATTCGTTAATATAATGCCATTGAAATTAATAGTAGGTAACCGAGATCAAGCAGTGCAAGCACTATGTTTGTCTCCTGTAGGTTACTATCTTTGGCGATCTTGTAAAGAAACAATATGTGTACAACTTCACGTCAAGGATTTTGGATTTTTGCATCAGAAAATCTCTTGTTTCTGGCAATTTCAATTGCATTGTTCGTAATATATAATATGATAGGAGATCTGTAGAGCTATTCTGTAATTTGTATAATACACACTCTTTAAATTTATATTTATATTTTGTTATATTGATATGTAGGCCTAGGTCCTAAATAAGAGTTGATTGACTGATTGCTTAATTGATTGATTGATTAATTGATTGATTGATTGATTGATTTGATTGATTAATACTACTATACTTTAAATATTAATAATAATACAGTATATTATAATTTGAGGAAGTCGGTTTGGCGCAACAAATTCCATTCAGGTTCTGAAATTTAATTATAGAATCATTAATAAAGACCATGATGTAATAACTTCTATTCACTATTAACAAAAAGCAGTGGTTCATTTTCTCTTACCCACAATGGTTTCATGCTCGTGCTTCTCGTACACTTTATGTTACTACGCAATCGTCGCAGATAGTATTAACGTATTTGCAACCTGTTACATGTAATACTCTATCCGATTTCATTTGGAGGATTGAATTCCATGCTTTTCAAGTAAAAATTGTTGACATAGCTGGCAGAAGAGTATTTTAGAGTATGATGCTTACAATAATTTTGTATGTATACGTATATACATATCTGGAGCCCTAAGACATAGTTTGCAATAGAGGAGAATTATGATGTTTATGATAGCAATCTGTATGTGTTTTAATTTGTATATAACTACCGGAGTCACAGGACAAGACGGTGAGTGCTAAAATAATTACACGGATTCAAAGAGAGTATAAATTGAGTTAATACGTTGCAGTCATAATTCCTTGAAAAGAGGAGTGATTGATTATGGGTAGAGGAGAAGATTGTAGTAGTTCTGTTGCTACACCGACCAGGCCCGTATCCAGCTTTTTGAATGGTGGGGGGGGGGGTGCGTTTTGCAAGCCCAGCGAGCAACCAGGCTGGGGCCAGGGGGCCGCCCAGGGCCCCCGCTCGGGGTCAAGGGGCCGAAGGCCCCGGAAAAATTTGCTTTCTTACGTCCTAGTAGACTAATTTGAAGGCATTTTATCATGTTAATCTCTATATGTCCGTGAACACAGCGATAGGGCCTATCAAAACATTACCAGTGAAAAATTACTATTTATTGGAATAAAACGCCAGGCTCCAGAACGTCATTTGTAATAAATACGCGCCTTCCTCGAGTCGAAAATCTGTCCAGATTTCCCAATTTCTTTTATTTTATAAATGATTTTCAACTGGCTAAATAATTATCTTTAATCTATAGGCCTATTTCTATTTCTATAGTTTGTGGGTTGACAAAGTCAAAGGACAACATATTAAAATCAATCTATACCTTCTGGACAACCGTGGTCTGGGTTTTCATCTTTCTTTTGGTTCGCATACTGTTCTTCTAAATCGGGTGGTAGGCATTCCTTCCTATCTTCACGGTATTTTTTGTTGACCCAGCTATCCAATGTTTGGCCAGATTTTGCAACAGCTTTTCGCTTTTTAGTTTCCTGTTCCTTTCTCCCCATTTTTTAACACGTGCGCACTTCAGCGTCGAGTATACTTGTCTCAGGGTATTTCTGAGAGCGCTAGGAACATTGTACTTGTCTAAACCGGGGTGTCATTCTAGCATTTTGACTTCATTGCTATACACTGACATACCGGCTGGTAGTTAGGGGAAGATACACCTAGACGATAACTTGCATATAACGTGTGTTTTGTTGTGTTTTGTTGCTGGCAGTACAAAAGATTGCGCGTGTAGAGTCAGCGTTCTAGTATTCTTATTGTAACTCATTTGTACATTCATACGATCTTAATACTGTAGTGTTATGTAATTAATTTTATAATGATTCTGGGAAAAAGGTCACATTTTTTTGGTTATAATTAGTGGACGTTTTTCGATTTGGAAGGTGGGGGGACCGTACGCACCCAACGCACCCCCCCCCCCGGATACGGGCCTGCACCGATGATGATGTTCCGAATAAGAATGTTTGTTGGTGATGACGATAGAATGATGAAAGATGGAGTTAGGTGATGGTGACGATAATAATGGTGATGATGACGACGATTAGAGAATTATGAAAATTAGAAAAACTGCTTAATTAACAAAAATGATTTACTTTTTTACCTTAAGAATACTTTTAGACTTAAGTCATGAATATGTCCTTGCTTAGTGTTTGTTTATTCACATGAAAGATCCTTGCGCAAGCAGTCCATGCTTGAACAGCGGTTTGTGCAGACTTCGTCCAGACGAGTTTGGAAACGCTACTCTGTACGTTTGTACGTGCCTTCCTTATTACATCGGAGACCACTGTCAAATATCAGGTATGTGAATTCCAATATAAACATCGAATGAATTATTAATTTATGTTGTAATTGCCACTCAAACAGAAGCATGTCTCTAAATTAAATATAGTGTCAGGACCTTTTAACTACGTGTCGAGTGTCTGGAATAATACTTGCGCGGATCTGGATCCTAATAGACGTATTCACAGAATACATTCTTTCGAATGATTTAATATGTTCCTTAATTTATAGTTTATAATTTTTTTTGTTACGTAACAGTTATTACTCTAACATCCTAATTGTCTCGCCTCCTTTCTTGGAGGTGTTATTCTCCCTTACTCTACCTCTAAACCCTTCGAGATTTCACTACCAAATGTGGTTTTCTTTGCAAAGCTGATGTTCGTGTGATTGTCTCGAGCTTCTACCCATCAGGTCCAATGCGGTCTGAGGCTGGTAAGGCAATGCTGCTCATGACTGACGCTGCGCGTCTTAAAATGCGGTGGTGGAACTTCCCTGTCATTCGACATTATTTATACC